AACCTCCGTGAAGCAGAAAGGCGGGACAAGTACATCAGGGGCTGCATTTTGATATTCAGTACAAGTAGCAGCGGTCCCGGTCCAAGACGTTCGATGATGCTGTCCAGCTCGCGTCAACAGCCGATGCACTGCAGCAGTGGGCGAGAAAGTACAACAGGGATGTTGGTCCTTTTCATGGACAGTCTCCCCGCCCCACGATCAATGGCGTGCTTGCACCCGATGAAGTATTTCACGAGCTATGTTATAGATGTGACAAGCCAGGTCACCGAGCTACATTATGTATTGCTCGAGGTCGCCTAAGAAGACGAAGAACGACAAGGAGAAGCCGGGAAATGGGGAAAGTCAATAGAAGACGGACCCCCTACTGGCGAGGCTTTATCGCACGAACTTCAGCGTTCCCACCAAGTTGTAGTACCGATACATATCGACTGCACTCGGACAAATAACGGGAGCGAACCTGAAGATCACCCTGTACTGGTCGAAGGCAAGATGAATGGCAAAAAAAAAAAGAGTTATTTGTGGATGGCGGGGCTAGCCACAGCCTGATCCACGTGACTACAGCGAAGCAGTTGAAGCTGACATTGGAGAAATGCTTACCCGAAATTGACGCACGACTGGTGGACGGGACGCCACTTGCGATTCGAGAATGAGAGCGCATGGTACGAATGAAGTGTGGCGACGATTTCAGATTCAGCATGCCCATGCTGGCGATGACCGTTCGAAATCTTGACGTATGCTAGCGATCTCGCCATCGGCGCGGTACTGTTACAAGATTTCGGCGACGGACTCCAACCAATCACGTACGAGTCCCAAAAATCGCAGGCAGCCAAGCGCAACTACCTTGTCCACGACAAAGAAATGCTCGCCATAGTGCACGCGTTCAAAGTATGGCGCTGCTACCTGACGGGAGCCGACGTAACAGTACGGACATACCACAAATCCCTACAGTACCTCCGCGCGTAGCCGACCCTCAACCCACGATAGATTCGCTGGCGGGATTTTCTGGAGAGCAACTTCCACTACACAATTACGTATGGGGGGGGGGGGGGGGAGGGGGGCGAATAACATCGCTGATGCACTCACATGACCATCTGCCCACCTGGTCTCCGTCATCATTGCAAAATCCAACCCACTACTCACCAGACTATTTACCCACGGATACGAAACAAACCCCTTTTTCACCCGCAACCTCCACCAGCAAGCCACCATGGCCAAAGAATATATTTCCTAAAAGCCGGTACTGAACGCATCTGGTCTCTCGCTTACCGACTCCTTCGCGAATTACTGATTCAAGAAGTCCATAATTCTAACCTCTCCAGTTATTTCGCGGTTGATAAAACCCAGAAATCACTCCACCATTTTTATTATTGACCAGATTTGACGTCTGATGTGCAGAGATACGTATCGGCATGCCCACACTGCCATCGCATGAAGTCTTATCGATAGCGGCCAGCTGGACTGCTGCAACCACCCGAGCTACCCCATAAATCGTGGCAACACTTGACGATGGATTTCGTTATGGTACTCCCGGCCAGCGCAAGTGGCAACGATGCCATCCTCGTCATCGTCGATCGCCTGACGAAGATGACGCATTTCGCACCCTGTCGTATGACAATCATTGTCGAAGAAACAGCCAAGCTCTTCATCTCCTCCGTTGTTCGTCTGCACAACCTACCATCGGCGATCATCAGCGACCGCGACGCCAAGTTCACATCCAAGTTATGGCAAGAGACATGGGAACAGTACGGCACCCGCCTGCAATTCTCGTCCGCCTACCACCCACAAACCAACGGACTGACCGAGCGCACCAATCATACCATGGAGCAGCTGATGCGCACCAACTGCCTCGATCCTGCAAGGTGGGAAGAATTCCTGCCCATGCTCGAATTTTCCTACATCAACGCCCCATCCGCAACGACTAATCACTCCTTCTTCCTCAACGACATCCCGACGCTACACCCGACTTTATCGCTGAAATATTACGATGACCACTGGGCAACTAGTCCTTCTCGACACGAAGAACCTCCGCCTGCCCCTGCCATCCAGTCTCTGCCCGAGATTCTGCGGGCCTTTCCGCATCCTCAAACTGGTGATACCTGTTATGTCGAAATTATTACTCCCGGATGAGTGGTGCATCCACGACGCATTCTACGTCAGCCTCCTTCATCTCTACGTCGCAAGCACGTCGGCAATCACACGACCCACGGCTGTCCCCAGTGTTCGCCCAATGGCCGAACTAACCCTTGAGCCCTGCTGGCTTTTGAGTCACCGCGTCCGCCTCGACATAAGATGACGTCACATGGAATTTCTTGTTCTCTGGGCCAACCGTACAAGCGAAGGTGACACGTGGGTCATTTCCGACTCGCTTCAGGAACAATCGGTGCTCAAATCTTATTTGACCCGAAAATGCGTTCCCGACACTAATGTTGAGAATAGCCCTAATCCTGCGAAGGTTGCAGAAGTCTGCTGAAGCGGCATATCAACAAAGTCCGCGGACACGAGCCCTGCAGAAAGGCCCATCGACGAATAGCAGATTCGTCAACAAGGCGAGGCTCTGCGGGAAGTGGCAGAAGGAGCAGTTTTTGTTGGTGGCAGAAAAGCGGTTCTGTCGGAGTGGCAGAACAGGAGAGCTTATTCTACAAATGGCTTCTACATCGACGTATGCTTTTGTAGAAGCGGTCTCGGAAGAATCGAGAGTGTACAAGACCCTCTGCCGAATTGGCACCAGGGGCCATTCGCAGAAGGGTTGTCCTCTGCCGAAGTATCGCGCAAAAGACATTTATGCAGGCGACCCTCACGGCAGAAACGACTCTCGGAAATGCGTTCCAGCAGGACCTCGGGTAGAGTGGCGCAAGAACCTGTTCGCGCAGAATTGCGTTCTGCGGGAGTTCGGCAGAAAGGCAATTCGGCTGTCTCTTCTGTTGTCGACCCCCTCGGCAGAAGCGCAGCAGAGAGTCACCTCGGACATCGCTTCCGCGAGCGACCCCTTCGACGAAAAAACGGGAACGCGGTTTTCTGATGAAGGTACTGTTCCGAAATCGCGAAAATTTTGCGATTTCGTAAGTTCACCACAGAACCGATCTGAACCAAAAACCGGCAAAATCTACCTGCGACATTGAGAAATTGAACACATGACGCACATTTCGTAACTGCGGAAATGTGCGTAACATCTGACAGTTTCATATCTAAAACTGTTAAAACAACTGCTTCTGAGTGGGTAAAAATTACCAACTAAGCATGTGCTGTAGTTTTCACCTGCCATTGCTGACTTGGCTAAGCACAGCTTAGAGTAATTATGTAAACGTCCTCATGCAAACGTTCTCTTTCGTGTTCAATGAGGCTCAATGAGATAGTACTAGTGTTTGCCTTGTGTACCATACTTTGTAATCTTGATTCTAGTGAATTTGTGTGCCAAAGCTTTCTCAAAAGCTACTCAGTGAAACACACAATTCTGAAGGCAACTTTCTCCGTAGAGAACGACTGAGCTAGAGAGCTCTATCTGCGTCAGGCACTTCGGCAGAAGCTCCCGTTATAGCAGAAAACTCTGCAACTAACCATCTTCCTTAAGAGAGGGGGTAGTGTAAGGAGTTTTATTTCTTACCGAGTTGTACGGCAATCGCGTTCACCCGAACTCTCGGAAGACCAGGCTTGGTCTGATTCCGACGCGACCCCGAGGCTGGCTCGCGCCGCCACCGGCCCTTTCGACCGCGCCTGTACCTTACCTAGCACTCCAGGCTCGTCGCCTTGCTAGGGTTCTCGCTATATAATGCTATGCTCCCATTCTTGTACTGGTCATTATTATTCCGCGCACTCCCAGTTATTATTCATAACATATCCTCTGCAATCATGTTATGAATTAATAAGAGAAATAACGGGTAGTGTAATAAAGGAGTCGTGATTCAAGAGTGTCCATACAATTGAGCGCCTAGGCATTTATAGGCTCGAACAAAGCTAGCCGAGAACCACGCGAACAGGTTGGGGCGGTCCGGTTGGCAAAAGCCACGGAAGCGTTGCGCGTCTAGGTTTGGGTTCGCGAAATGGTTTGGGACCGAAGAAGTTGGCCAAGCCTGGACTTCCGAGAGTCCTGTGCATATGCGCTGTAGTCGAGCCCATTAAGGAAAAAGGAATTTTCCTTACACCACCCCCCCTTCTGGGATGAGACTACCCACATCCGGGACACGTCGTCGGTGTAAATAGTCTCGGACTATTCTGCGTTCATCGAGCACAGCTGCGGGGACCCAAAGATTGTCGCCAGTCGTGCGATCGACCCATTGTACAAGGAAATCAACGGCTGCTGTATCTCGGTGGCTGCGTACGTGATGAGCGAGAATCTTGGACGGCTCGATCGTTGGCTCGGGTACTTGGTTGACCGTAGGATTGATGTGTTGACGGTCGAGATTAGTCGTACTCATGACGAATGGTCGCAGGAGACTGACGTGAAATGAGTCATGAATTCGCCAGTCGTCCGGCAGTTGCAGCAGGGCGGTGACTGGTGTCACCATGCGAATGATGCGGAATGGGCCGCAAAATCTTGGTCGTAATTTATTTGGGAGGGGAATTCCCAAATTTCTGGTGTCGAGCAGGACCAATTGCCCAGGGGCGGGCGTTAAGTCTCGGCGTCGTCGGTCAGCTTGCTGCTTAGCCCTCTGATTGGCTTTGAGGATGGCATCGGCGGATTTTTGCTGAGACTGTCGGAGGTTTTCGACGAACTGCTGAGATCTTGGTACCGGGTTTTCTATCGGGGGCGATAGAAGGGTTGTCGGTTCTATCCTATAATTAAGGAAGAACGGGGACTGAGTACTCGTTGCCGATGGGGCGTTCTTGTACGCAAACTCGATCAACGGAAGGGCGTCTTCCCATTGGGCCGGGTCTGTGCACGTCGTGCGGATTAGCTGCTCCATCGTCTGATTGGTGCACTCAGTCTGGCCGTTCGAATGTAGGTGGTATGCCGTGGACAGATGCAGACGTGTGCCGTACTGCTACCAGGTTTTTGTTCAGAAGTTGGACGTGAACAGTGGGTCGCGATCACTGATGATTGGTGAGGGGATGCCGTGTAGCCGCATGATGTTCGTGAGGAACAATTTCGCTGTCTGCTCGGCAGTAATCATCCTTTTGTAGGCGGTGAAGTGGGCCATCTTGGTCAACCGGTCAACGACGACGAGGATCGCGTCGTTACCGTTTGAACTGGCTGGCAGGCCAGTGACGAAGTTCATCGTCACTTGTTGTCAGGGTCGGCTGGGTGGCTCGAGTGGCTGCAGCAATCTACCAGGCCGAAGTCGGGAAGACTTCATGCGTTGACACGTGGCGTAGGAGGTGACGTACAGTTGCATGTTTGTCGGCAAATCGGGTCAGTAATAATTAAGGCTCAGTAATTTGGCTGTTGTGTCGATGCCGTAGTGACCCGAGAAAATTCGAGTCATGTGCCTCCTGGATCAGTAATTCCGATAGGGTACGGTAGGTGAGAGCTCAAATCCGATTGGTATCGGATTTTAGGTAATAGGCCCCTTGCTTGTCCGTCAGTTGGGGATGACTGTTAGTGGTGAAGAATGGGTCAGTACTGTTTCCGTAGGTGAATAGGCCAGTTAGCAGCAGATTAGCTTGGGTAATTAGGACTGCGGTGGTGTGGATTGAAGGTCGGGTCAGTGCGTCGGCGATGTTGCTAACCCCTCGTTTGTAGGTGACTCTGTAGTGGAAGTTGTACTCGAGGTAATCAAGCCAGCGAATCAGTTGGGGATTCAATGTCGGTTGGGCACGGATGAACTGTAGCGACTTGTAGTCTGTTCGAACAGTCACGTCAGCGCTTGTCAGGTAGCAGCGCCAGACTTTGAAAGCGTGAATGATGGCGAGTAACTCCTTGTCATTGACAGGATAATTTCGCTCGGCAGGGTTTAGATTTCGTGACTCGTAGGCGATGGGTTGGAGGCCTTCGCCGAAGTCTTGTAACAGTACTGCGCCAACAGCTAGATCGCTAGCGTCGATGATGAGCTCGAACGGACGGTGAGGATATGCAATCCGAAGAACCGAAGGTGGAGTCAGGAAACGTTTGAGCTGTTCGAACGCAGCTTGCTGCTCTCCCCCCCACTCATGAAACGTGCCCTTCTTGAGGAGATCCGTGAGAGGGGAAGTTACCCCTGCCATGTTCGGAATGAAACGGCAGACGTAATTTACGAACCCTAGAAAACTCTGAAGTTCGCGTAGATAAGTCGGCGGCTTCTAGTCTCTGATTGTCGCGATTTTCTTGGGGTCGATTTTAACACCATCGATGGGAATGACGTGGCCCAAAAACTCCAATTCGTGTTTGAGAAACTCGCACTAAGAGCCCTTGGTGATGAGTCGGTGCTTCTACAAGAGAGAGGAAACGTCTGTCAAATCCTTCAAATGCTGCTCCCAGGTAGTGCTGTAGACCAATATGTCGTCGAGGTACACGATGACGCATTTATCCAGCAGCGGCCAAAAAACCTCGTTCATGGTAAAATGGAACGTTGAAGGCACGTTTGTTAAGCCAAAAGACATAACCGTGTACTCGCAACTCCCGTACCGGGTCCGAAACGCCGTCTCGTAGCAGTCAGCGTCGTTCACGCGGATCTGGTGGTAACCGCATCGCTGGTCAATTTTCGAGAAGAATTTGGCTCCGCGAAGTTGGTCAATTAGTTTGTCAGCACGCGGGATAGGATATCGAGACTTGATGATAACCCGGTTCAAGGCACGGTAGTCGTTACACATTCGTAGACCGCCATTTTTTCTTGGGGTGAACAGTATAGGAACTACAAACGGTGATAAGCTGGGGCGAACGAAACCTTTCTCGAGCAGGTAGTCCTGCTGGCTTCGAAGTTCATCCAGATCGGGCTGAGTCTGCCGCCATTGAGTCAGAACAATAGGCTGCGCGCCGGGCTCCAACTCTATTTGGTGGTCATGTTCTCGCTCAGGTGGCAAACCCGCCGGTAGGTCGTCTGGAAAAATGTCGGCGTGTTTCCGAATCACCATCGCCAAGTCATTCGGGACAGCTGCGCAGAGTTTGTCGATGTCGGTCGGCTTGTCGACAACCGTTGATGCGATCCATCGGACAGCTTACATTTGCGTCCCTCGAATCATTGCTCGCATGATCGTTACTGCGCTGACCATCGATGTTGTCGAATATAGACAGGTCCACTTGGGTAATCGGCGCCACTCGCCACTCCATTTGATGCGACAATCGCTTGTCCGCCAGTCAATGCTCGAGTTGTATTCTCGCAGCCAATCGCGTCCCAGCAGCATGTTGCAGGCGTCCAAAGTTGTCGCCAGCATCTTCGTCGTGAAACTGAAATTTTCGCCGCACGTTATTCGCGCGTGGAGTACCTGCTCTGGAATTGCAAGTGGTATGCCGTTAACCAATCTCGCGTCGATTTTAGGCATGTAGCGCTTTAGCTGCAATTGCAATATTTTTGCATTCGTCGCGTCTAGCAAACTGTGGCTCGCCCCACCATGAACGAATATTTTGATGTGGGTATCGCCAACTCTTCCTTCAACCAGCAGAGGGCGATCAACCGGTTCACCCCCCTTATTCAGCCAGGATTTGTCGATAGCCCAAATCGACACTATAATCAGGTGGGGGTGTTGGCGTTTGGGCGACGTAGTTAAGTCAGTAGGTGGCCCATCTCCTACTGACGATCTCCATTTCCCGATTGCTTCTTGTCGTTAGCTAAGTTCTTCTGCAGCTGCGTGCAGTCCCTCACGATGTGACCTGGCTGGTTGCAGTGGAAGCAGGTTCACGAAAATACTCGAGCTGCAAACACGTCCACGATGTTGATTGATGTGTGTTGGGGCTGGCCTCGAAAGCGACTTCCCTCCCGAAAACCCGCTCTCGCGAGTCCACGTCGTGCGTCCAGCGAGTCTGCTATGCGAACTATTTCGTTGAATGTCGTCGGGGCTCGCCGGACGATCTCTAGCTGAATCTCCGACTTGGGACCACCCACGTAGCGATCGATGTGCTCGTCTTCGCTAAGCCCTCCGATTTGGTCGCAGATTGCTCGAAACGACACCGTGTATTCTTGGACAGAGCCCAACTGTCTCCACATCCGGAGCCTTGTGCGAGCATTTTCGCGCATGGATATGTGTTCAAATCTGCCCTTCAACACTTCGCCCCAGGCTTTTCACGGGCGGATCGTGGCCGACTCGAAGATCGGTTCTTCCTTCGCCGTTGATGAACTCTGCTCCCCATCTACCGCCCGTTGATTCCCTACCGAGGCTCCTCCCTCGTCTAGATGCATGCGCCACCAGTCGAGTGCCGGTCCCCTCATCAACGACACAGTCAAGTTGACACGTAACGCGTTGTCATTAATACTTGCTGCTGTGAAGAAATTTTCCATGGCAAACAGCCAACCGCTCACTGTAGTCGTTCTGTCGGTCGGGTTGAACGGCGGAGGCATCGGTGGTTTGATTTTAATGGCCGTCCGCAGCTCGCTGTGGACTTCTTCAACTGCTTCAAGTGTCGCCGACGCCCTCGCTTCGCTCGCAGCATCTTCGTCTCGGGTAACAGACCGCCCCTAACGCGTTTCACCCCGCGTCTGGCGAAGCGACGATTTTTCGTTGTGCAGCGTCTGCACTTCGCTTCCCAGTGACTCGAACTTTATCGGCGAGTTGTTGAAGCTGGGCCTGCAGTGTCGTAAATGTAGCCACCATGGCTTGCAACTCGTCAAACTCCTCCTGAGTCACGCTCATAACACTACGACGTGCAGATGTTTCCGGCGTGGTAAGCATGCTGGAAATTTACATGACTGATCTGAGGGTGCACACGCTTCTTGTTGGAGGAGCTTTACGAGCTCACCTAGCAACCGTAAGCCAACCCCGTTTTCTGTCGAGTCCTCTCACGATATGAACGGACTACTCTACAGAAGACTAAGCGGGCAGGAATGATACCTGTCAAACATGTCTATTTGTTATGTGTGTATAGACTGTATAGGGTAGCCTCTTAGAGGGTACAACACTTAGCTATATTGTGTGTACTCTCTCTCTATCACTATCACTTGAATTTCTGATATGGTATCACGCGTAGGTAGGATCCCCCCCCCCCCCCCACCTACCGCTTCCGCTCGCCCCCCTAGCCCCGTCGCGACCCCCTCTAGCCCCGTCGCGCCCCTTCCTGGGCCCCGTAGCGCCCCTCCTGGGCCCCGTAGCGCCCCTCCTGGGCCCCGTCGCGCCCTTTCTGGGCCCTGTAGCGCCCCTCCTGGGCTCTGTCGCGCCCCTCACAGACCCTGTCGCGCCCCTCCTGGGTCCCGTCGCGCCCCTCCCAGGCCCCGTAGCGCCCCTCCTGGGTCCCGTCGCGCCCCTCCCAGGCCCTGTAGCGCCCCTCCTGGGACCCGTCGCGCCCCTCGTGGGCCCCGTAGCGCCCCTCCTGGGCCCCGTCGCGCCCCTCGTGGGCCCCGTAGCGCCCCTCCTGGGCCCCGTCGCGCCCCTCCCAGGCCCCGTTGCGCCCCTCCTGGGCCCCGTCGCGCCCCTCCCAGGCCCCGTAGCGCCCCTCCTGGGTCCCGTCGCGCCCCTCCCAGGCCCCGTAGCGCCCCTCCTGGGTCCCGTCGCGCCCCTCCCAGGCCCCGTAGCGCCCCTCCTGGGTCCCGTCGCACCCCTCCCAGGCCCCGTAGCGCCCCTCCTGGGTCCCGTCGCGCCCCTCCCAGGCCCCGTAGCGCCCCTCCTGGGACCCGTCGCGCCCCTCCTGGGCCCCGTAGCGCCCCTCCTGGGCCCCGTCGCGCCCTTCCCAGGCCCCGTCGCGCCCCTCCCAGGCCCCGTCGCGCCCCCTCCTGGGCCCTGTAGCGCCCCTCCTGGGCCCTGTCGCGCCCCCTCCTGGGCCCCTGCAGCGCCCCTCCTGGGCCCCCCGTCGCGCCCGCCCGGTCCTGTCGCACCAGCCCGGCCCCGTCGCCCAAGCCCGGCCCTGTCCTGCTCGCCCGGCCCCGTCGCAGCCGCCCGGCCCCGTCGCATCAGCACGGCCCCGTCGCGCCCGCCCGGCCCCGTCGCACCGGCCCGGCCCTGTCGCCCCCGCCTGGCCTAGTCGCCCCTTCCCGGCCCCGTCGCGCTCGCCCGGCCCCGTCGCCCCGGCCCGGCCCTGGCGCACCAGCCCGGCCTTGTCACGCCCGCCCGGCCCCGTCGCGCCCGCCCGGCCCCGTCGTCCGCGCCCGGCCCGGTCGCACCTGCCCAGCCCCGCTGCCCCGGCCCCGTCCTCCTCACTGGTACGGTTCCCCCCCCACCCCGCCCAACACAGCCCTGCACCGTACCGCCACGCACCACCCTGTACTGCCTTACACCGCACGGCACCGCACTGCACCGCACTGCACCGCACTGCACCGCACTGTACCGCACTGCACCGCACTGCACCGCACTGCACCGCACTGTACCGCACTGCACCGTACTGCACCGCACTGTACCGCACTGCACCGCACTACACCGCACTGTACCACACTGCACTGCACTACACCGCCCTGCACCGCCCTGGACTGTTCCTAATGGCGGCGGAGCTTCGCTTCGACGCTGAAGGTCAGCCCCTAGAGTTCGAGGCGTTGCTTGCCGACCTCCGCCGCCAACTCACTGGCCAGCGGCAGGATGGTGAACCGCTTTCCGCACACCTTGACGGTACGCTCCCCTGCCCAGACCCTCCTGCTATTCTGCCCGCTGACCCCACACCCACTGAGCGTGAGTCTACTGCTGCCACTGCCCGTGCGCGCTCTGTCTGGCTTTCTCGCGATGCTGTCGCCCAGCTTGCCATTAGCAACGCCCTCCCCCCGTCCGAGCGTCCTCGCTTTAGGTCCCTCACTACTGCTCAGGCATACTTAGATGCTGTCATCAAGCGCTATTCCACCCCTCCGGCTGCCTCGGTGGGTCGCCTGATCCTCCCGCTGCTCTTTCCTGACCTTGCTTCTTTCCCCACTGTCTCTGACGTCGCTGCCCAACTGCGCTCGATAGAGGAGACCTGGCGCGCTGCCTGAACTGACGCACAGCTTAGAGCCCACCAGCCGCCCATTACCTCTACCCTCTACCTGCTTGCCACCCGCCTCCCTGACCGCCTTGCTGTCGCCCGCGACCGCTTCCTTAGTGTTCACCCCGCAGACCTCACCCTCACTGACTTTGTCGACACCCTGACTGTGATAGAGACCCGTCACCGCTCCATCGCCCAGGCGAGCGGTGTCGTGCCGGTCCCTATCTTTCAGGGTTGTGCCCCCGCTCAGTGCACCTTCTCCGACGGCTCTGCCGCAGTGGCTGAGACTGCTGCTGCAGCGCAGGCCCGTTCTGGGAAGGGCCGCCGCCCCAAGGTTGGGCGCGGCGGAGGGGGCGGCGGGGGTGCGGGCGGGGGTAGTGGTAGGGTCGGGTCGCCTGGTGCTGGAGCGGACGAGGGGACCCTGCCCAGTCCAGCTGAGTCGCCGCCCCTGGAGTTGCAGCAGCCGCAGCAACCGCCGCAGTCGCAGCCTTTGCAGCAGCCGCAGCAGCCGTCGCAGACGCGGCAGACGAGTGTTCTCCCGCCAGGGTGGCCCGGCGCTGGCGGTGGACGGGCGCGTGGTGGTGTGCCGCGTGGTGGCTCTGCCGGCGGGCGTTGTCAGTACCAGATCCAGACCGGTCCTCGCCGCGGCTTCGTTTGCGGTAAGATCGGTCACTCCACTCCCCGCTGCTTTCGTCGCCTGGACGACCTCTTTCGTCAGCGCTTCGGCCCGTCGCCAGACCTCCCGGACTAGCACAGTTTGCTTAGTCGTCAGATTCAGATCTTTGATATGGACATGGATGCCATTGTTTCTGCTCTGCATGTGATGTATGCTGATGACTCTAGTGTGCTTCCCGCTTATTACTCACTGTTGCCTAGTGTAGGTGTGCCTAGCTTAGCCTCCCCTGCTGCGTCAGGCGTAGGACCCCCTGCTTTGTGTAGTCTTGGTGCTTCTGCCGTCGTTCCGTCGCCAGACCCCTCGGCTTCGCTTTCCTTCACCTTGGACTCTGGCGCCTCTCGGTGTTTCTTCCGCGACTCCACCACCCTGACGCCACTTCCTGTTCCTGCTGCCGTTTCTCTTGCTGACCCCTCCGGCGGTCCGGTAGTCGCCCGCAGTTCCACCACCCTTCCCTGTCCGGCGGTTCCTTCGGGCTCCCTTACAGGTCTGCATATCCCCTCGTTCTCCAGGAACCTAGTTGGTGTCGGCTGCCTCCAGGACCTTGGCGTCACCACTACGTTCCCTGGTCACGAGCGGTATGCTGTCTGTACCGAGGCCGCCACTGGTGCCCCCCTGTCCACGTTCCCCCGGGACCCGGTGTGTCTACCCAGGTTGCTGCTGCCTGCTCCTGTCGCTCCCTCACTCACCCGACCCTCCTGTGGCACCACCGCCTAGGTCACCCTGCGCTCCCAGCACGGTCTTGTCCTTGGTCTCCTAGGTTCCCTCCCTGCGTTTCCCTCCTCCCCAGCTCCACCTTGCACGCCTTGTGTCGAGGGTCGGCTTCGCCGTGCCCCTCACTCCTCCTCGTTCCCCCCTACCGCCGCGCCGCTGCAGACCCTGCACCTGGACGTCTGGGGCCCCGCCCCCGTCCCTGGGCCGCGTCGCGAGCGCTACTTCCTTGTGCTTGTCGACGACTTCACTCGTTACACCACAGTCTTTCCCCTGGAGCGCAAGGCCGACGTGCCTAACGCCCTCATCCCCTGGCTTGTCTCTGCGCGTGTCCACCGCGGTCTCCCTGTCTTGCGTCTTCACTCCGACCGTGGTGGCGAGTTTGCCTCAGGTGTCCTTGGTCGCTTTTGTCGTGCGGAGGGCATCACCCAGACGTTCACACTACCGGACTCCCCACAGCAGAATGGGGTTGCCGAGCGACGCATCGGTTTGGTCATGGAGGTCGCTCGCACCTCCATGGTCCATGCCGGTGCACCCCATTTTCTGTGGCCGTTCGCAGTGCGCTACGCTTCTCACCAGCTTAACCTGTGGCCGCACCCTCAGCAGCCGCAGGTTTCGCCGACCAATCTGTGGACTGGGTCTCCTGGTGACGCGTCTATGTTCCACGTCTGGGGCTGCCTTGCTCACGTTCGTGCCTCCGGCACGGACAAGCTCACCGCCCGCACTCTTCCCTGCGTCTTCCTCGGTTTTCCCCTTGACGCGTCTGACTGGCACTTTTACCACCCGCCGTCTCACCGCTTCTTTCACTCTCGTGACGTCACCTTTGACGAGTCCGTCCCCTACTACCGTCGCTTTCCCCACCGTGGTCCCCCGGTTACCCCCCCCCTGTTCCTGGCCACTCCTTCCCCCGTAGTCCCTGCCCCTCCTCCTCCTCCTCCCCGTCCCGCCCCCTCTGGTGTGTCCCACGTCACCCCCCTTCCGTCGGTGGACCCGGTTGAGGAGTCTTCTGACTCTGGTGGCCCTCCTGTGCAGTCCTCGCCAGCCGCCCGTCCCCAAGCGTCCCCTCCCCAGTCCCCTCCTCCACCGCCTCTGCCGCCGCTGCAGCCGTCGTTGCTGCCGCCGCCGCCGCCGCCGTCGCAGCACCCGTTCGCTGACTCTGGGGGTGCTCGTCCCGGTAGCCTCGGGGGTGGTCCCTCTGGGGGTGCTGGTGTGGAGAGTGCAGGGGGTAGCCGAGGAGCAGCTTGCGGTCCCGGTGTCGCCGTTGTGTCGCCGCCGCAGCAGTCCCCCCCGGTGTCATCCCTTCGCCTGCTCGGCCTGCCGTCCACCGACCCTGCGTCGGTTCCTCCCCGACCGTCTCCTCCTCTTCCTGTCTACGGCCCTGTTTTCCCTCCGCCGGACTCGTCCCCGGCCCGTCTCCCCCCTCGTTCCCCTCCTGTGTCCCCTCCTCTGTCTCCTGAGCCGACTCCTCCGTCGCACGTCTGGCCTCACCGTCCCTCCCGTGCTCGTCCTGCCTCGCCTGTCCTGCGCTCCCACCCTATGTTGCTTCGTTCCCACGCGTCTCGTCCTCCCCTTCTGCCGTCGCCTCCTCCATCCTCCCTTGTTGTTGCACCCCCCCCGCTGTCTGACTACCTTCGTGCCGCTCGTCCTCTTGTTCCTCGAGTCCTTGCCTCACTCGTTACCGACCCGTCTGTTCCGGCCTCGTGCCTTGACGCTCTTGTCGCTGCTGTCGCTGACTTCGCCTCTACCCGCCGCCTTGACTACGCCACCGCTCTGGTCTCTGACCCTGCCTGTCCTCTGTCTGTCGGGGGTGCTTCTGCCCTTGGCAGTGACGTCCTGGAGGACCGCCAGTTCGAGCTTGCTTTCCTCTCCGAGGCTGCTCCCCAACTCTGTTCCATGCTGCTAGTCCCTGAGGGTGACCCAGACGCTTTCGACATCCCGACCCCTCGCACTTACGTTGAGGCGACTTCGGGACCCTGGGCCTCGCAGTGGATAGCTGCCATGGAGCAGGAGATGGCATCTTGGAGATCCACCGGCACCTTCGTCGACGCAGTTCCCCCGCCTGGGGTGAACGTAGTCGATGGCCGCTGGCTCTTCAAGGTGAAGCGCCCTCTTGGAGAGCCGCCTGTCTTCAAGGCGCGCTATGTGGCTAGAGGCTTCAGTCAGCGCGAGGGGGTGGACTTCTTCCAGACTTTCGCTCCGACCCCGAAGATGACTACTCTTCGGGTTCTGTTACACCTAGCTGCTCAGCGTGACTACGAGCTTCACTCCCTCGACTTCTCCACTGCCTTCCTTCAGGGCAGCCTACACGAGCAGGTCTACCTGCGCCGCCCTCCGGGCTTTACTGGCACCTTCCCTCCTGGGACCCAGTGGCTCCTGCGGCGCCCCGTCTACGGCCTGCGCCAGGCTCCCCGTGAGTGGCACGACACCCTGCGTGCTACGCTTGCTGACCTGCAGTTCTTTCCGTCTTCTGCAGACCCTTCACTCTTCGTTCGTGCTGGCCAGACTCCGTTCTACATCCTCGTTTACGTCGACGACCTGGTCTTTGCCACAGCAGACAGGGACGCGCTGGCCTCCGTGAAGGCAGAGCTGCTGAAGAGACACACCTGCACTGACCTTGGAGAACTGCGCCGTTACCTTGGCTTGCAGATCTCCAGGGACAGAGCTGCGCGCACCATCACCCTGACTCAGTCACACTTGGTGCGCCATGTCCTTTAGTGGTTCAGCCTTCAGTTCTCCTCTGCACAGCCCACCCCTCTGCCTGTAGACCACAGGCTCTCCGCTCCAGTGCCTGAGGAGTTGGTAGAGCCCAGCGGCCCCTACGCAGAGCTGGTGGGTTGCCTCATGTACCTGATGACTTGCACTCGCCCAGATCTCACATACCCTCTCAGCATCCTGGCTCGCTTTGTGGCCACAGGCAGACACCGACCGCAGCACTGGTCTGCCGCTAAGAGGGTTCTGCGTTATCTTGCTAGTACATCGGGCATGGGGTTAGTGCTAGGAGGACGCAGGCCAGTGGTCCTTACTGGGCACACAGACGCTTCGTGGGCAGACGACGCTGAGACACTCCGGTCTACCCAGGGCTACTGCTTCAGCCTTGGCTCAGGTGCCGTCTCGTGGAGAGCTACTCGCTCCTCGTCTGTTGCACAGTCCAACTGTGAGGCTGAGATCTACGCCGGTGCCATGGCGGCACAGGAGCTCCGCTGGCTGACCTTCTTGCTCACTGACTTAGGTGAGCGGCCTAGCTCTGCCCCGGTCCTGTTCGCTAACAACAGGGCCATGATCCTCCTGTGTCAGGAGCCTCGATTCGAGGGCAGAGCGATGCACATTCAGCTGCGGTACTTCCTCCTGCGTGAGCTACAGCAGCGACGTCAGGCTCGCGTAGTACACTTGGCCTCAGGTGCCAACACGGCTGATATCTTTACGAAGGCGCTTGCGCCTAAAGATCATCAGCGGCACTGTGTCCAGCTTGGTCTAGTTCCTGTAGCCTCTCACTTGCTAGGACCTTGACTTTGTACTGTCCTTTATATGTATACTCAGACTGGACTTGTGTGCTCTCCCAGTGGCTGGACTAGTAGTGCCGCCCTGCTCTTGTGCTTGCCTTGTCTGTACTCCTTCTGACTGGTCGCTCAGACCCTTGTCTCAGAGGTTGGACTAGTAGTGCCGCCCTGAGCTGTTTGTTTAGGGCATTCCCCTATGCAGTCTAGGGGGTGTGTCAAACATGTCTATTTGTTATGTGTGTATAGACTGTATAGGGTAGCCTCTTAGAGGGTACAACACTTAGCTATATTGTGTGTACTCTCTCTCTATCACTATCACTTGAATTTCTGATAATACCAGCTGTTATGAATTAATCAGAGTAATAACAGGTAGTGTAATAAAGGAGTCGTGATTCAAGAGTGTAGATACAATTGAGGGCTTAGGTTTTTATAGGCACGAACAGAGCTAGACGAGAACCACGCGAAAGCCAACCGGAATTTTTCTGTGGCTTTCGCCAACCGGAATTTTGCTTCCAATTCAAGCCCTATGTAAGTCAGAATATTTTCTATGTTACCATGAGAGATCTCGATCGATGACACGAAAGCAAGCGCTGACGCGGAATCGTCCAACAATTTCGCGAAAGATATTCCACCAGGCTGCCTTCATGGGAATCTGTTGGGGAGTTGAGGTGGCTTGGCAGAAGACGTGTTCGTTTCCGCCCACAAATTACGGATGTTATATGGTGACGTGTGTGTTCCTGGTCATCCTCCCACCCCCTTCTCCAAGCACTACATCTTTCCCAGTTCAAGGAGTGACATTTCGAATCAGCTCGTTTGCAGCTTTGAGATTTCCGTAATCTAACTATCTTGGCCTACGTCCATGGCGGGTGAAGTCGTTGACGGCGAGACGCCTCTGAAAGTCGTGACCTTCAAGTCTCTCCACCCTATTCTTTCCATTGATCCTCCGAGAGCTGGCGAAGCCGTTGCGTGGTATAAGGATGTCTTTGGCTTTGAGGAGGTTGCGAAGATCTATGGCAAGAGGAAGGCTGGTCAGGATGACCCTCTGATTGATCACGCGCATCTCAAGCTCGGCGAGGTGGAAATCAAGCTTGCAGATGATACTGGTCATGGTGCCTCCGTTGAGTAAGTTGCTGGATTACATGGTGAGCTCATTCCGCGTGTCATTTTTTCATCTGGTCCTAATTTTGGTCGCTGCGTTCGACATGGAGCTGGAAATTTCGCCTTCGGCTTTATTATCTTTCGCCATGAATTTTCCTCCGACGGCTGAAGTACTCTGTGAGATGATAGTCTCCAGCGATGTCTGATCATCGACGTTTCTTTTTCTGGTGCAGGGGTGGCAAGAGGCCGCCTTCTGCATTGAAGGGAACCACATTTACCATTCAGGTCGAGTGCAGTGATCCGGATGCAATTTTTGCTAAGGCTATCGCCAAAGGCGCGAAGGCCAGCCTTGAAGTGTCCGACCAGGACTGGGGTCGTCGTTATGGCAAGTTCATCGACCCTTTCGGTTTTGAGTGGGGTTTGTTGAAGCCTCTTGAGGTTGAGGAAGAGAAAAAGGTTGAGGCCGAAAATGGGGAGAAGGCAGCTGAGCCAGAAGCTCCTAAAGAAGCTGCTAAAGAATGACTGCTAGACTGATCTCTAATATGATCGGGCTTTCTGAAGAACCCTCAACAGCGCTGACGACGGATGCGCATTGACTTTCATTGTCATAGGTGATGACACTGCGTGGTTATTGACTGTGTTCCATGTTTTTTCATGAGAGCTGTTTTGTACATGGACTATATGGGCGTTGTGAAATCTGAGCTGTGGCGTTCCTCCTACTCATAACTGCTACGCGAACCTACACTGGGTTCAATGTCGGTGGCTGTGGAGCCCACTACAAGCACAAGTGTTCCATTCAAATGTCCCTGTGCTCTGGTCCTTGGTCAAGAACGAATCAAACTGGGCCTAGTTTGATGCTGATCGTGTTAAATTATATATTGTGTTATATAATTGGTAGGCTTTGTTGGAAATATCTCAAGGACTTAAGCGTTTCTGAAGTGTAACACTGTACTCGAGGAAGATTACAGGGGAGCACGCGAGTCAACGGAGGTTACACGAGGGGGCGGACAAAGAATGCGAAAGGACTCGAAAGGTCGCAACTGGAGGTTGCGACTGACCGTTACAACATCACGGATGTAACCGAAGCGGCAATCGAGTCGCTGTGCGACTCGATAAACCGTTCCTGTAACTGTATTCTACAACTGCTTTCTTATCTACTATATATTGCTGTATGCTTGTTTCTTTAATCAATCACTTGTTCTCACATACTAGTACAAGGGTTCAACTGCCTCAACTTCCGCTGCACTACTCCAAGTCTCAAGTCTTTACAGCTGGGACTTAGTCTCTGCAAAAGATCCTAAAGGGTTTTTCTCAGCCCAACATGGTATGAGAGCTGGTCAGAGACCAAACTCCCAGCAACTACGTCCTATCAACAACCTGCAACTCAACTCAATTCAACGACTTCATTGATTACAAGACATGGACAACAAGGGCAAGAAAGTCTCTACGGGCTCACCCAGCGCCCAAGAAACTCAACACGGCAACTCTGGTCTGCACACCTCAGGACTGCAGACAGAGACCGGGACTGCTCAAGAAACAACGGGAAGAGTACCAGAGATGGTGACCCCGTCTCCCTCTTCAAGTGTGGACCGAATCTCATGGAGAGATTCTTCAGCTTCATGTCACACTTCGATCAGCAGCAGCAGACAAGGACACCTGCGCACTCAACACAGAGCAATGGAGGGAATATGGGATTAGCGCCGATGAGCCTCGACAACTCATCCTTCGGGCGACACAATCAAGCGCCTACCTTTGCGCCTTATCATTCTTCGCCGGGGACGTTCGAATTCATGCCGCCCCGTGCCCAGCCAACAGCAGCTGCTTCACAACAAACACCGAATGAAATCTTAAGTTTACAGGCGCAGTTCTCACACGTGATCAAACTTCAGACATCCTCACCGTTCAACGACACGACTTCTTTACCTGGAGCTTCGAGTTCGAGCTGCTGATGGAGGCCGCGCATCTTCTGGGATACTTCAACGGGTCCCTGCCATTCCCAAGCAACGGCACTGGGAAGGAACAAGAGATCTTCACGTATCAGTCGCTGCTGGCGTACACGGTACTCCTGAGAAACCTGTCACCACAAGAGCAGCAGAGCATCAGAACGTATCGGAGTTATGGAAACTCCGCGGAGCTCGCATGGCACCACCTCAAATGCCTTTACCAAGCAAACGACAGCGTGACACAAAGCAGACTCATGCAACAGCTGACAACAATACAGATGAAGACCGGGGAAAAGGCGATGCAGTATATAAGTCGCTGCCAGACCCTCCGCGACCGCCTGCTTCGGTGCGGAGGAACGATCACTGAAGAAAGCTTCGTGACACTTGTCCTCGCCGGGCTCGGGCCAGAATGGAGAACCACACGATCACTTCTTCGAGCCCACGGAAGAATTTCGGAGATGCACCTCTGCGCCGAGCTTCACGCTGAACAACAGGAGATGGATCTGTTCGAGGAAAGACAACCAAGGAAGCAACAGCAGTTAGTCTTCTACACTCAAAGAAGAAATGACAACAACTACAACCGACGCAGCAAGCAAGATCAACGTGACAACCGAGGACTCACCATCGTGCCGCCGTTCTGCCACAACTGTCAGACTTCCGGGCACTCCAAGGTCAACTGCAACCGCCTCGCGTTTACCGTGCAGCAGACCCACAAGTCGCTTCCACTCAAGCAAGTCCTCCAAGGCGCTCTTCAACATCTGCACAACAAACACCCAACATATCAACTGCATGGTACACATCGACAACTGCGCACCCGCTTCACCACCCACTTACGCACCAGACGAAGAGGAATTCCGCCGCCGCGCTCGCAAGGACTTCAGGTCAACCCGACATACGCTGCAGTCGCTAACGCCGAACCCACCGGGCGGAACACCTGGTTCTTGGACAGTTGCTGCGGTCAGCACATATGCTCCTCGGACGCTTCGTACAACACGAGCGACGCCTCAACCGTGACGTCGTCATCACCGTCGCCAACAACGAAAACCTGAAAACAAATAGACAAGGCGTGGTTCAGTTACAATCAATGGAGACAAACCGTTATTCTTCAGCTCAACAAAGGTCCTCATCGTCGACAATCTGGGATACACCTATTAAGCGTAAGCCAACTAATGGCTAAGGGGATTCACCTGGAGTGCGACTCCTTCGCCAACGAGTTCCGACTTTACCACGGGAAGGGCGGTCTCTTCATCGGTCGTGCCCTCCTGAAGTCCGGTGTCTTCGTGTTGGACTTCGTCCCCGACCGCGGAACTGCCGACAGCGACGGTATCGTATCGTTCGCCGCCTGGACTCACCGCCAGATCTTGATCCCGACTTCGACAGTGACGGCTTCTGGCACTCCAACACCATACCTGCAGCAGAGAGAACACGAGCATTAGCAGTTATCAGACAAGAAAGACAAGTACCCGCAAGTGTCCCAACAAAACCATCACCTGCAGTATCGGCAGCAGGACCCAGCCGAGTACCACCACCAGCACGAGGACCGCCAACGAAGCAGACCAACTTATGCCCGCCACACGAGAAGCTTGTCGAAGTCCCGCCTCGGTCGTCGCGTTCTTCTCCAACGCCGACATCTACCACCGCTCGCCCGGTCACCGCGCTCCCGACGACATCTGGCACCAACGTCTCGGACATCCTGCAAACAGCACGATACTTCAAACAATCCAAGCAGAGGTGTTAGAACGCAACGCCCTTCTGACGACGAGCGGCCAGAACTTCGACGACCACGCGCACGGTGCTTCACATGCCCCGAAGCAGATCTTCCTCATCAACCTTTCCCAGCCCATCACAATCCAAGCGCACCCACTTACGCTCCGATGGAAAAGGTCTACAGCGATATTCTAAACATGCCTCGAGACGACACCGAAGCCGACTTCAACTACGTCATCACGTTCATCGACGCCGCAACCAGATACGTCTGGCACTTCAATCTCAAAACGCGCGATCAAGCCTTCGAGGCCTTCACCACATGGCTTCCAATCGCCGAACGAGAGTCAGGAACCAAACTCAAGAGTTTCCAGTCAGACGGTGCACTGGAATACCAGTCACAACGCTTCAGGACCTATCTCGCGGAAAGGGGAATCCGACGCCTGGTGTCTCTGCCCTATGCTCACCAGCAGCAGGGGGTAGCAGAACGCATGAACCGGACCTTGCAGACGACGATGCGAAAACTGCTTCTGGGGATGAGGCTGCCCAACGCACTGTGGCCAGACGCGATGACACATGCAGTCCACCTGCACAACCTGTTGTCCTCGTCATCGCTCCCAACAACGCATCACCGCACCTGCTGTGGACGGGAAAAAGGGGCAGCACAAAATTACTTCGAGTTTTCGGCTGCATGGTACAATACAGACCCCACACAGCTCGAGCAGGACGCTTCACTCAACGAGCTCGGTGGGGACTACACCTCGGCATCGCCAAACATTTTCACGCGTGGAAGATTCTCGACATACAAGACAAAAATACGGTGGCATCACGTGATGTTATCTTCTACGAGCGACTGACGCTGCAGCATTACCTGGACAACATTGCCAACTCAGACGACCCCACCGACGGCTTCGCGGGCCTTCGCTCCTTCGCTGACCATGCTGCCGAGGCTGACGCAGCAGAAGAAGACGTACCTGGAGCCTCGGAAGCTGCCGGGCCACTCCCATTCTGTTCCGTACCTGTTCCACTCGATGAAGATAATCCCCTCGATAGCAACAACCTCGACACCTTTTACCACTTCGCCGACCAAGGTTACGCTACACCCACCCCGTCGACACGAATATTTCGGAACGCATCGGCCCCAATTTCTTACCTGACCCGAAGACGGTGACGAAGCAGCTTATTCCGGGAATGAAATTCCCCTCGACACACACCCACGGGACTCCAGATTCTAGGCCTCTGGGTCTCCGTCCAGCATCCGCCGCCGCCTTCTCGCGAGCCTTCAACCTTGTCGCAGGCTCTGGGGGGGAACATAAGGCAAATGGAAGGAAGCGATGGAAAAGGAGTTAAAAGCTCTGCAAGACCGAGAAACATGGAAACTGGTACCTGCAACGAGCATCAACGGGAAGAACGTTCTCTCGGGGAAATGGGTGTACCGCATCAAGACCAACTCAGACGGCTCCATCGAACGATTCAAAGCTCGATGGGTCGTACGAGGCTTCGATCAACGATACGGAACCGACTACACAGAAACCTTCGCTCCAGTCTCCCGTCACACCTCATTACGCATCCTACTCGCCGTCGCGGCCACGAAAAACACTACCACTACGCCAAATCGATGTCGCGAATGCGTTCCTATACGCACCTGTGGACGCTGAGATCTTCGTCGAACAACCCCACGGATTCATCGACGACCCCACGAAAATATGCCGACTGACAAAATCCCTATACGGGATCAAGCAAGCCCCGCGGCTCTGGCAGCAGCATCTTCACAGCCGTCTCGTAAAAATCGGCTTCCTACAGCTGCCGCATGACCAAGGGATGTACCGACTGCAGAAGGGAAGAGAGTATGTTCTGCTCATCGTCTACGTCGACGACCTGCTCTACATCGGCTCACTACCGACATCGCCACCTGGTTCGAAGGGGAGCTGAAAGAAGATTTAACTCTCACGGTGTCCGACGAAGTTACGCAGTACCTAGGACTGAACGTCGTCGAAGACGACACGGCGTTCTACCTACACGCTGGAAAGTACTCAAGCACCGTCGCGAAGAAATTCGGTCTAACACCGACTGCGGTCC